GGGGATACAGAAACGCGTTTTTAAATGTATAACAGCGCTTTTTCAAACTTAAGTTGTAAAACACAGAAAACACGTTGCATTACACCAGTTTCCCAAGGACTTTTCTCCTCCATTGTAGCTGGTCAGAAATATCCGGCACCCCAAAAAGTACGGAACCAAAGTGTTTTGCAAAAACGTCAAAAGACATACATATTAAACTTTATCGCCATTTTTCAGCAATTTTCAGCAACGATCTACGATGATTATCGCTCAAAACATCAGCTTTCCAATTTCACTTCGGCGGTTAAAATCTATTAGTTCACGATGTACAATATTAAAGTTATCTTACCTGCACTCGACTGTATTTCCTGTAAGGTGTCCAATAGAAGGCGTCAGCGCTGTATTTGATAACGTATCGTGTTACATACTGTCTGAGGTCGGACCGTCCTTGTGTCGCGACCTTGACAATTTTTCTTGGCCGCCTAAAGTCAAACTGTATCCACTGTCCTCGTTTGTTTACTTTAGCAGACCATCCACCACGGTAGTGCCCGCGTTTTCTGTTGTACAGCCGCGCTAACCAGGCGGCGTGGTATTTATCCCAGATGCTGGACGCTGTTATGTAGCGGTTGTTAAGACGGTTGTTGGAAAGGCCAAGAGGCTTGGCAACAGGGCGAGGCCCTGGAAAATACAAATCAGTATTGTGAAGACGCTATCTTAAAAGGACTTTGTATGTTGGTTGTAAAGAAAAACAGGACCGTTTTGCGATACGTAGTTAACATGAATACATCACAATACGCTCGTGATAAGTCTTCCCAACACTGAAATAAATCTAGACCAAAGTTTTCGCAAAGCAAAACAAAACTTTAATATTTTCTCTGATAAATCTAATTTTCAAAGAATACAAATTCAAATTATCTGACAACAAAACCACACCAGTTCACATACTTATGCCTTTTCTTTACTTACTCAAATATTTTCCATACAACTCCACCCTCATAGACATGTGTCTGTACCAGGACTGTGGGTAAAAACGCAAATATCGAGCTCTGATGGAGGGCACAAGAGCATTTCTGACCACAGTGTTCCTGTCTCGATTACCGCGGAAGACCTGGGATCGAGATAGTTCAAAAGACTAATATGAATCTTGAAAAACACAAAATTAACGCAGAGAAACTAAGGCTATGTTCACACTACGCCGAAGAAATTTGAAAACGGTGTTTTCACTCCGAAAATACATCAAATGTTTTCCGCCCACACTACGCCGGAGAAATTTGAAAATCCAACAGTTAGCGGTCATTTTGTACTTGTATTTGAGGAAAACTTGGGGAGGGAAATATCATGATTATCGCAATGTCATCGTTTTCGTAAACCTTCGTTTTCGAAAAATGTGCGCTTCACACAGGGGAAAGATTTATTTCATCTGTAGTGATAATTAAATATCTTGTAAACATTCTTTACCCCTCTTCGTCCAGGTCGATAATTTCGGAATCGTATCCCATCGTCACCATACATTACTCTGTAACTTGTCACCCATTGGTTAGCGTCTTGGCGACCTTGGATTGCGGTAGCCACGATACTCGCACGAGTGCGGAGGTCAACCTGTGAGGAAACATTCACAATTTGTTAAAGTAAGGTAGAGTCTGCGTCGGGGCAAGTGGTCCATACCGTCATAACTTATTCGGGTTTCCGTAGAATTAATCTACTAGAAATATTTCTACTCCCCCTGATAAAATGCTAGTCCATCACCGGTACCCATTTATTCACCTGGATTTCTTGCCCGAGAGCACATCACATTGTACCTGGCCAGGGGCCTGTTTCTCGAATGTCCTGAGGAGTTTTCGCACCCGGAGAGCCGTAGCAAAATCTCAAACCTTATGAACACAGAGCTGTTTTATTCACATATTCTTCATATGAACAGGGTTCCCTTTATACAAGTAGTTACAAATTAACTAAAAATGGCTTTGCACGCCGAAAAGTTTCCGGGGCTTTCTAGAAACTGGCCCAAGGGCTCGAACCCGGACTGATGATAACGCCATTACAATGAGCACGCAATTATAAGGTTCAATAAGGTTCACTATTTCGAGTGCTGACAACAATCTACTAGCTCTCTCGGTAAAGAGTGGGTTTTTAAATCGTAAAAAAACACCAAACAAGCTACAGAAATACTTGTCTCCAAATTAACTCAATAGCGTGCGTATACTTCAGTCACTAACCTGTAGCCACTGTCCTCGGATATTTCTTCTTGCCGACCAAGCTCCCCGGAATCTTCCTGACTTACATATATGAAGTCTTCCTCGCGAGGCGGCGTGGTATCGGTCCCAGAAACTCGAGGCACTTAGAGCGCTATCACGTATTCTCTTATCACTGACACCAAGAGGAAGTCTTGATACAGCTACAAAAATAAACAAGGCAGCGTAATTGTAAAGCATTGTTTCCATGCAACTTATTTTATTGCAGATGAATGTAAAATTGATTCTGTTTTTTTGAATGAGTAGAGTCTTATAAGCAAGAAAATAGACCAATGAGCACTCGTCGACGCAAATACACGTGACCAGCGCCGAGCGCCCGAAAACGCACTTGACAAAAATGCGATTGGTTTTTAATTGTCTTGAATCTGATTGGTTGATTAAGTGGCGTGAGTTTTTTAACCAATCACAGAGCGAGGAAAAGCCAACCCAAAACATTTCATGATCAATTTCGATCCTCAATGGAAAGTCACTCTAACAATTTATTTTGAAATGTTTTGGTTTGATTTTTGTAAGTCCTTAACTCTCACCAGTTCTGTGTCCATAGAATTCAGCCCTGAGCGAGATGTGTCCTCTCCAGCCGACTGGGTGAATGCGGATGAAACGTGTCCGGATTGCCGGAGACAGGCGCCGTCTTACAATTGTGTTCCTATCTCTATTTGCACGGAAAATCTAACAACAAGCAAAACAAAATTGGTTATAGCAAGGGACCGTAAAAGTCCGATAATAAAGTCCCACGAAATAAGCCAGCTCCCAAAATGTCACATAATAGCTGCCAATCCCTAAATTTTAACCAATCTTTGAGTATTCTTGTCCCCTCTCCTCCCTCCCTCTTGGTATGCTGGTTTCTCGGTAAGTATTCAGTCAGGTAAGTTATTCCCAATGATATCTTTCAACGTGAAGGTGCCAGTTAGCGGCCGCTTGTTTGGGTGGTTCCCACTTCCAGGGTTACCATGGACACTTCTCTTCTGCATATTGCATTTGGCACCCCGCTTACCTTTTAGGCACCAGTTCCCAAGCTCATCTATTTGAGATGAGTTTAACGGTAATTTCTGTCACAGGTTTATGTCACGTCGATCGTAGCGTAATATGCCCGCCAACTGGCAGAAACCAGTACTAACATTTCTGACTTACCTTTCGGCACAAATAGGGCACAAAGTTGATGCCATCAAACCCGTATGACAGATAGTATCTTGTCACCCATTGGCTGGCGTCCTGACGACCTTGTGTAGCAACAGCTAGTACCTTGACTGGACTGGTGAAGTCGACCTTAAGCCATTGGTGAGGATTGTTATGCTTAGCTGACCAGGCTCCTATGTAACGACCGCGCCGAGAAATTTGAAGCCTGGCACGATTTGGTCCATGATAGCGATCCCATTTAGAGGAAGCTGTGATCGCTCGGGATGGAATACGGCCATTCTTCATTCCTAATGGTTTGTATTGTTGTGATACTGAAGAAGAAAGAGCAGCGGTATAGTTAAGTAGGGCCAACTAAGGAATAAAAATTACCATGGTGATTGCACGTTGTTACTTAAGCCAGTTTTCCAGAACTTAGCACACTACCTGGTCAATAGACCTTTCCCACATTCCAACAAACAACGACGCCGAGGCCAGGTCAAGGTGGACAAAAATACAGCAAATGTATGAACATATCCACCCCAACCTCACTCTAGTGCTATTGTTCGTATGCTATTGTACATTATATACAGTGGTTGTGTTTGCAAATGTATGGAAGTCAGAAACCTAACGTGTGTGATTTTAAAATTACTAAGACTGCTAATTTTAAGACTACTAATATGTAAAGGTAAATTTTTGTGAACGTTTGAAAGTTTTAAAAATCAAGATTTATGACGATAAGTTGTTGAAATAAAAGCTGCCATTCAACATCCAAATCTTTAAAATGCTTTCACTTTTCTTTTCTTTCCGATTTCCATTAACTTAAACATAAATGGTCTCTCAATTGACAGTTTTACTAATTTCATCTAATGGTTTGTCCCATTTCTGAGGTTCAATTTGTTCCACGACCATGGTGTAGGAATGAGTGACATCACAAACCTCTTGTCCAGCCACCCCTGGTGATCTGTGGAATGCATTTAAGTCTTCTGTTCTTCGGATGGCGTTCATTTGCAGCATAGCATAGTCCTTTGATGATGCAGTTATTTCTCTGTGTTCATAGAACAAATCAGAATAAATTTAAGTGAAGAGTGGAACAGGAAGCCTGAGACAACAGATCGAACCGAACCCGGAATCAAGCTGGAAATTCCATAGACATGACGTGGTTATCCTAAAATCTGGCTGCTGTCTCTGATAAAGCCTTAGATTTTACAGTGTGCCCGTCTTTCTGGCATGCTATCAGTAATAAAATATTGCGGAACTAGCTTTCCACAAGGACGTTTGAATTACCGCTGACACACTCTCCACGCGCTTGGCCCTGATAACTACAAGCCTATCTATCATTTATGAAACCAGACAGCAGCATCTGAACACCAACAAGAATAACGCAATACCTTTCGCCAGCAGAGCCCATTTGATAAACATCTATGGCAGGCCGAGTCGTAAATAACCAACTTAAGACGATTGCTAAGCAAGACACCATTATTTGAAATGGCCACTAACACTCTCAGGGGTAGGCCGCGAAGCTTTCTCGCTGTGGGAAACTTGAAAGGAAGTTTACATCTTGCTTCCCTGAAACTCTGCAAATGGCCGTGGTTCTTCCTTTGCGCACCGATACCATGCCATCTGCGACGCAACAACTGAACAGGAAAATGAAATACATTGTGGTCAGTAAAAATAGAAAACATTTTTAACCGCGCGACCACGGGTCGAGCGCAGTTCTTGCTTCGCCAGGAACCAGGCTCTCACTCCCACCCTCCCACTTCGCAGCATCAGATGTTTTATGAAGCTGCCAGCAGTTGCTTCTTCTGGTTTAGCCAGTAAATAGAGTCACTGTGTTGCTGCTGTTTGGCTAGTGCTGCTTCATAGAACTGTTTTCTATCGATTCGAGATAGTGTAGTTTAAATTTCACCGCGCGGGGTTAAGCTTCCTGTTTTTTTGTTTTTTTTACCCTAGCGAGTGGGTTGGTGCGGTTGGGTGAAAATTCAATGCTGGTGACTCTGTGGCTCTGATGTGTAATTAAGTGTAGAAATCCTTACTTCTTGTAGAGGAGAAACACCTGAACCGTGCAGTAAGATTTAGAGGTAATCGATACATAAAACTTTAATAAACCTTGCGTTTGGTCTTATTCAGCATATAAGTAGCTTCAAAGGTTTTCATAAAATCAAATAAGGCCAACACTAACAATCATTCTGAGAGCACGTTATGCATTTTAATCTTCCCCTCTTTTTAACCATTGGTATTATACTTTAAAAGTAAATGTGATGCTTTTGCCAACGTTACACATCTTGATATGTACATGTTACCAAAAAACTTAGGTATTTACACTTCCAAAAAATACAGATACCTTGGGTAACCTATTTAAAATCGTAAAAAAATAAAACGAACACCAAAAACAACAACAACAGATATTCGAACTCTTACCCGAGCTTTCTGTATGTGACAGCTCACGTGACCTTCCCAGAAACCTCTTCCGTACACACTAGCAAATCGGCAAGCACGCTTCCTCAGGTCACACACTCCTTTAGACTGCAGTCCTTGCAGCTTCGGAGGTTTTCTTTTATCTACCGAACAATCACTTGAACCATAACCGCGATAGCAGCGACATTTTCCGTTCACGCATCGTCCTCGCTTATTGCAGTTGTCTGGACAGAGTTTTGCCAGGATTTTTGTGTTAGGGACAAGGCGACCTTTCTTCTTCTTGTAGTTTTTGGGATTAACAAGAGCTGCGGTTTTACAAGCGTCTTGGAGACTGGATAATGCTGACTTGGCCATAGATAGCTTTCCTGAAATCTAGTATTACCAAAAAACAGGGCATTAAAAAACAAACAAGCAGCAGGGATACACGAACAAATTATTTTTTGACGGTGGTAGGGGTGGGGGGAGGGCGTGGGCGATTTTCTGGGGCACGAAAGTAGTTTTTTTCAACGTTAGGTTGTGCATGATTTTTTTTTGGTGGGCAATAGCTTGTGCAAGAATTCTTTTATCATCAATCTTAAAATAATGATAGTGGGAAGCACTTGCTCGATTTTTTCCTCCATGGCTCCCCTTGCACGAGTTTTTTTCAGCAGCCAGTTTCGTTCTGCAAGAACTTATTTTTGGAAACTGCCCAACCTCTTCCCCCCCTCCCCTTACCTTATCCCTCCTCTTCAAAAAATAATGGTCCGTTCCTTAACAACGCCACAGTACCACCGTGGTCACACAACTCACCTTAATATCTGTCACGCATTCTGTCATGACTTTGAGCTTCTTGACGTTGACAACCTTCTTACACACACGTAAGATGCGACTCATCTCTCTTTTGCAATGCCTAATTGCCTTCTTGCGAGTTATTCCAGTCGGTGTTGGCCAGGTGGGGACACGATACTTAACTTTAGGAGGTTTAAAAACATAGTTTACAGAGTTCGGGTCGTAATCTCGATTGTCGGTTTTTCCGGGTTTCTTCGGATGAGGTCGAACTTTGATCGGTTTCACTGGTTTCCCTCCCTTGTCCGTATCTGGTATTGGTTTGACGTCACAGGTGTTGAAACGGCGGTTGCCCTTCTTGACGCATGCACAAGATGGTTTGACGCGTCGGCTTACAGATGAGATGCGAGGTGGAAGCCTCTCGAAGAGACTTTTACCAGGCTTTAACCTGAAAAGCCAAAATAATGATATTACGAATACATTAGAGCCTTGCCTTACGAAAACTTATGGTCGTCTTCCCTTGGTGTTAAATTTAACTTGAGAATGAAGGCTAGAACAAACGTTTTACACGTCATAAAGATCAATACAAACTAAATTTCTATTCACCAATAACTAGACTTAATTTTTGTTCTTATCCAGTTGCGACTTTCAGTAACCTCTTATGACTTAGTGGTACATTGTGTTTCAGTACTCTCAAACCATTATATCAATTGAGTCGAGTTATTGATCTTTCATATAAGACCAGCTTGATCTAGCAGCCTTTATAACCAATAAGTTAGGCAATGACTTCTTTGCTTCTAAAGTAAATCTTAGTTGCAGTTTTCCTTGTGGACCCGAGCTATCTTCCAGTTTGATCTAGCAGCTTTTGTAACTAAAAAGTAAGTAAAGCAAAGACTCGTTTGGTCCTAAAGTAAATCTAAGTAGGATTGTTGTTGTTGTTGTTGTTGTTGTTGTTTATCCAAGCAGCAGTTTTCCTTGTCGACAAGGCTATCCTCCTGTTACTTACATGTACTTCCTGGCAAACGTGTAAATGCCTTTTCCCTCCAGATCGTCACGTGGATTCCCGTTGTTGTTCCCGCAGAGTCCCACAGTAGCTGAGGTGTCTGCACCAGGGACTGTGACGTACAAACTCATTCCCCAGTATGCACAGTGAGCTTCGACCACAGCTCCTGACCTCATCATGACCTGGGAAATGACATCAAAAGACCAGTTACATTCAACTTCCAAACATGTTGCTTTCAATGAAACTGATATTACTTAAAACCAGGTAGGGTTGCAATAAAACCCCGCGTGTAAGAACCCGCACAGTAAGTTCTTCCGGTATTTTGGGGGTAGTTGTTAATTACCAGAAAAATAAATAAACTTGGGTTTGGTCCTTAAAATAATACAGTATTTATACACAACTGTATTACTTATTTTCTTGTAACATAAATTTGCAATCTTATATCACACTCTTCGGTGAAAATGTTTAAAACATAATTAAACTGTAACCCACATACAAGAACTAAAAACCCGCTTGATCTTGCTTGGCTAAACAGGTCTTTATATTCTTGGGTATTAAAATGGCAAAGGTTCTTAAATCACTAGGTTCTCACATGCGGGTTTTTACTGCACTGCATGGTCAATTGAAGTTCCCCGGGCTTTCAAGACAGACCTCATCTAGGCAAAACATGAAAATGAACTTTTGACTTCCGGTTGATTTGAGTGAAACAAAATAATAAAGAAGACGTCGCAAACCTTAAAACGCGTGCTTTGACCAGATCCATATCTTCGGATTCTCATTCGGTTGCCGAGAGGTCGTGGTGACTTCTGTACAACACGTGGACTGGTCCTGCGCCAAGCTCCGTTACACATGTCAATAGTCACCACGTCATTGTTCTCACGGATAGCCACACCGCAGTTACACACCACTCGCCAGCACGGCCAGATACGCGCATGTACCTAAAGAGAAAAAACACGAAAGAACATGTTTGACAAAATTTCCAAAATTTCCGAGAGAAGAGTTGAAAATACGACGTGTAGCGGAGTATTTTTGACGAACTTCGAGGTGTTTGGTGAAGTGGTTAAACACTGTCTTTAGTGTTTGATATATCTGCTCACTTTGAAACTAAAACAGAGGAAAAGCAAGGCACTGGCTTAAATACAACTTATCCAGTCAGCTGAAATAATACTGAGTCCGAAATACACGAAGGCATCGAGTGATAGCAAAAAAGAATTGCTCCCGGTTATTGTAAAACTCGAAAGAATCATACCTCGAAGTTCCTTCTCAGACTCTTCACCATAACGTAAGTTCCAGCGTTCCTCAAAATGTCGTAATACCTAACAAAAAGGTAAGCGCACAAAACAGGTAAATTAAAAGAAAAAAACCAAACAAAAAACAACAAAACAAGTAGTGCTAGTCCATCGCAAGGTTACCCCAAGCATCAAATTCGCTGGTACCCATTCATACACCTGGGTGGCCAGCATGGAGAAAGGTAGTGTGAGAATAAAGTGTCCTGCCTAAGAACACAACACAATGTCCCCGGCCAGGACTCGAATCCGGAACGCTCGGTAGATACAATGCAAATTTTTTTTTTTTTCCAGACAGATTGAATTCCTCCGCCTACGGAGTCAAGTCTCCACTGCTCAACTCATATAAATCTAACACATCTTCCAAGTCCTTGTATGCTATGAATAAAATCCTCAAATTTTTCCATTCAAATCTACTTTTAGTACTTTTTCGTTGTGCTGTTCATTTTTAATAGTTATTACAGGCAAGTCGAAATGTTTGAAAACGTTCTATAGTTGTACACATACACTGACGAATGATAGCAAATCTGGCTTACTTGTTATCAAATGTTCGATAATGTGGGTCTCCAGTTCCCTGACATTTCTTGAAGCCTCGGTTGGATGTTATGACCTACAATTCAAGAATAGTTTGAATGATCTCGACGCCCATATGTTTGGGATAAAAAAGCAAACCAACAAACTTTATCATAGTTGAAACTGATCACCTTGCAAAAAGATACAAAACAAGCAATTTGGATCATTACAAAGCACTGGACGTCAGCAACTTGCATGCAGTTGTACTGACCAATCTCAGCATGCTCTGTAAAAAAAAAAAAAAAAA